CCCGCCCCTGCCCCGCGCGCTCCCGCCCCACGCGCTCCTCCGGCCCCGCCTCCCGGGCTTCAGCCCCCGCTCCCGGCGGGTTGCTGTCGCGGGCTGTGAGGGGAGGAACCGTGCTCCCAAAAGGTCATGGTCCTGGTGAGGTCCTCCGCAGGGCTGGTGAGCAAGCACACCAGCCGGGCATCCTATTGACTGTGAATCAAATGGTGCATGAGGAATAAAGGCGAAGTAACCACCATGCATCCGGAATCGGTCGACTCAAGTCATTAATTAGTAAGTAATTACAGAGCTGTCTCGGATGGTTTATATCCGGAAAGCCACGTGCCAATTGACCACTGGTGGCGAGATTAGATTAGATGTGTAGATACAGGGCCAAGCCTGGAGATCTGACCCGTAAAGGAGCTGTGTTCTGCAAGAGAAAATCAGTCACCTCCGACAACTAGGCTGTCACATAATTTGGTGTATGCTAAGGGAACGTATGTGTAAATTTTCTTAGTAAGTTCCAACAGCTAGGAAGATTGCACAGAAGACATAATTAGTGGGTGAATGCTACGTACAGAATTCAGAGGGTCTCCCGCTCCGCATTGTTTTTCTTTTATGGAAACAGAACCATCTAACCCAGATTGGCCTCAACCTCACAGTAAAACCCAGGCTGTTCAAGTCCTGATACTCTTGCCGCAGCCTCCCAAGTGCTGGGATTACAGGCATGTGCCATCCTGCTGGACTTGAACTTTGAGTATGATAAAATTGATTTAGAGGCTTAACTTCTCTGTCTTGCAAGTTGCAAGTTACAAACTTGCCTTCTTGGAACTCACTATGTAGACCGGGCTGGCTTTGAACTCACAGAGATCCACCTGCCTCTGGCTGCCGAATGCGGGGATTAAAAGCTGTGCCACCAAGCCTAGCCAAACTTGCCTTCTAAACAGAACTGTTTTTATTAAAACATCTCAAAATTTTAATTCCAGGAAGTTATTTCAGGCAAGGTGAATGAACATCTATGATTAAAGAATCTGAACTACTTCCAAGAAACAGGCTGGAAAATGTTCCATGCCCTTAAGTCATTAGAAGTATTTTCATGTCTCAGGAAAGACTGATTTCAGCTCCTCCTCCACTTGCTAAACTGTGGTCATAGAAAGAGAAAGCCCTTGACATCGTGGACCTCAAACTGCTCACTGTATGTAGAGGTGAGATGACACACACCTGTAATCCCAGTACTTGGGGGCTGAGAGCCAAAGATGTGAAGTTTGAAGTTCGGGGTTCGTAGTAAGATCCTGTCTCAAAGTAAATGAGTAAAAATATCCTGTGTCAAAGTAGTAAGTAGGCTGACTAGACCCCAGTGGATGAACTTGCATTGAGGGACATCAGGGGACACGAACTTGACTGGATAGGCCCTAATATAAATGACAGAATGCATGAAATTGGGGGTGGGAGGGAGAGGAACTATGGGAGGGTGTTGATGGGGAAGGGGCTGTACAGATGATTAAGATGTTGTCTATGAAATATACAAAAATTCAATAAACTATATTAAAAAAGATCCTGTGTCAATAAAAAATCCTGGCTGAAAGTCAATAAGTAAAAGCATTTGTAATCTATGGAAGGAGACAAAGCACGGGAAAAAGGTACTGGTGTACTAAGCAGCTCTAGGAAATGAGGCACAAAGTGATCACCATTTGCTGAGGGTGTTACTCTGTGCTAGAGTTGCTTACCAAGCAAGCAGACAGCTTTGGTACAATCTCAGCAACATCACAAAAAAAGAGCTGGGCATGCAACCACTTTTAACCCCAACACTTAGGAGGTAGAGGCAGGTAGATTGCTGTTAGATGGAGCCCAGCCTGGTCTACACAGGCTATTCTACATCAGTTGTAAGGCTACAGGGAGATTCTGTCTCAAAAAGGCAAAAAAAAAAAAAAAAGAGGGGGGGTTGCTGGAGAAATGACTTAATGATTAAGAGCAATAACTGCTCTTGCAGAAGACCCAGGTTCAATTCCCCAGCACCCACATGGCAGCTAACATCCACCTGTAGCTCCAGTTCCAGGGGATCCAGCACCCTCTTCTGGTCTCTGTGGGCACTGCACACACATTGGTACATGTACACAAATGCAGGCACTCAGGAGTCAGAGGCAGGCAGGTATCTGTGTTATAGCTACATAGTGTGCCTAGGCCAGCTAGGACTACGTAGTGAGCCTGTTTCAAAAAAAAAAAAAAGAAAGAAAGAAAAGCACATTTATAGAATGTTTTGTGCTGGCCTGGAACCTGTTACATAAACCAGGCTGGCCTGCAGTGATCATTCTGGGTCTACCTCCCAAGTGCTGGGATGACAGGTGAGTGCTACCAACTCAACTTTTTGTTTCTTTTTTTTGAGACAAAGTTTAACACTTGTAGTCCAGACTCTCTGGAATTTACTGTGTAGGCCAGGCTGGGCTCTAACTCAGACTCTCAAGGGGTAGGATGTATTGAATAACTGAATGAATATAAATGAATGCATGAACTTTAAAAATCCATTTCTAAGAGGCAGGAGGATTTCTGTGAGTTCAAGACCAGCCAGGGCTACATAGTGAGACCCTGTCTCAAAACAAACAAAAATCTCCATTCCTATAAAATGGGTATGCATGCCTGTAATCTCAGGATTTGGGAGGCAGAGGCAGAAGGATTAGGGTTTTAACAGCATGCTCAGGTATAAATTTGAGGTTAGCGTGGTCTATATGAGACCCCGTTTTGAAGAAAGAAAAAAGAAAAAAAGAAAAAAAACAAGAAGAAAAAAGATCAGAAAACATATACTGTTTTGCCCTCAAGAAATTTAGGATGGAGCTGGGTGTGGTAGTATACACCTTTAATCCCAACACTCAGGAGGTAGAGGCCAGAGGATCTTTGTAAATTCAAGGCCAACCTGGTCTTCTAAACCAGCTAGAGCTATATACTGAGACCCTATCTCAAATAAATAATAAATAAATGAATGATTACAAGTTCTTGTAATAAAAGCCACCTTTGCTCAAATGCTTTAATGAAGGTGGAAACAATGTTGGATAGAAAGAAAGATATTTGTTCCCAATAGAGAAAGAATAGCATTTGTGTTAGAAATTGAGACATAATTTAGGAGGAAGAATATGTGAGACACAGAAAAAAAAATGCACAAGCATGATATTGAATAAAAATGACAGAAGTCCTTTGTTTTAGATGAAGTTTTTGTGTTAGGCCCCAACAGATCAGACTGAAAATCAAAACAGAGTCACTCTTTGCTAATAGTCAGTGCTACCAAACCCAAACTGTTTATCTGACCTTCCAAGAATGATTTCTTGGAAAGAATGGTTTCTCCTGATGGAGAAATAATTAATAGCTGAATTTCTCAAGCAGACTGGTTTCAGTTATTATGAAATGAAGTTCACTGTCCAACTGTTTTCCTATTGCTCTGTTTCCACTTCTACTTTGAAATGCTCACTTTTCCCAAGTTTCTACTTTCTATTTTTTGACCCCTCCCCTAATCCCTAGACAGAGTCTTTCTGTGTAGTTAGGTTGCCCAACCTAGACTCAAAATTGCTATGTATGGGGCTGGAGAGATGGCTCAGTGGTTAAGAGCACTGGCTGCTCTTGCAGAAGACCCAGGTTTGGTTCCAAGCACCCACATGGCAGCTAACAACCATCAGTAACTCCAGTTCCAGGGGATCCAACACCCTCTTCTGACCTCTATGGGCATTGTACCATATGGGTGCACTTACATACATGCAGGCAATACACGCATACACAGTTTTCAGTTGCCAGTGTTCATAACCTCTGAGCCATCTTGCCAGCCTGCTAATCAAGCTTTTGAAACAGCTGAAGGAGTTCATGGGAGGAAGAGAGATTATTTCAAAATCTCACTGTGGGAAGATCTAAAAACTGTGCTAAGGAATCATACCTGATTTCTAGATAACAGTCAAAAAGGTGGAAAAAAATAACCTAGATTAGAATAGTAAATTATTATTATTATTATTATTACTATTATTGAGACAGGATCTCATGTAGCTAAGATGACCTTGATTCCTGATCCTCCTGCTTCCACTTTCCAAGGGCTAGAATCACATCATGGGTATATTGGCTTCATAGTGAGTTGGAGACTAGTCTGGGCTACATGAGATTGTCTCCAAAGACAAATACGAATTTTTCAGCAGAATAGACATTAAATGAAACTGGAGGCTGAGGAAGCTAGCTCATAAGAGTTGAGGTCAATATGGGCCTGAACAAGAACATTGGCCACACAGAAAATACCTCCTTTTAGAATGAAATAGTGCACAATAGGCTTAAGGAGTTCCCCAACAGAGCTGGGGATGTTGCTCAGTGGTCTAGGATATATAAGGCCTCTTTGTTTGAGCGCCATCCCTGAAAAAAAAAAAATCCATATACATAGGTAGAATAGCTGGGTGTGGTGGCACACATCTTTAGTCTCAGCACTAGGGAGGCAGAGGCAGGTGGATCTCTGAGTTCAAGGCCACCCTGGTCTACATAGTGAGTTCCCAGGCCAGCTGGGGCTACAGGGAGACCCTGTCTCAAAAAGACAAAAAAAAACCAAAAACAAAAAACAAACAACAACAACAACAACAAAAACCCCACAAAACGA